CATAGTTCTGGCAGTTATCTCCATAAGATATTAAAAATTTTACTTAATCTTTGAAATCTCAAATTAATTTCCACATCCGTAAAGAAGTTATAGTAGTATTTTGAATATTAAATGATAATTATATGAAGTGCCAAATACATGCTAAGACCTCATGTGTTGTCAATTACCCTTTCTTTTATGAGCTAAGATAATACATTTTTCCTCATGGTATATTAATTGAAGATTAGAGCTTATAAAATCTATAACTTGAGAGTTGGCATGTCCACTAAACCTTACACAATATCAGTTGTCTTAATTGCTCTATATAGAAGAGGTAAAGATTATAGGATTGTTTCCTCAGTGAGTACTTAGGGTACAGATGTTTTATGTTTTTCACTGAAAAATCTTAGTATTTTTAATACTAGACCTTCAAGTAGCTAATAAAGCAAAGCAAAACAAAACAACTTAGAGAAAGTCAGAAGTCCTTCGACAAAGTTAGAGAGCTTGGCTTCTGGCTTGAATAAAAAAGTCACAAACTTTGCTGAGGTCTATCAGAACACTAAAGCAGTGCCTGGATGAAGCCCCAGAGCACTGAACCATGGAATGGTTATTTCCTACAAAAGACTAGAGTTTGGGAAAGAGGAATTCGAAGATGGCAAGAATTCAGACCAGTTTAGAGCCTTTTACAAATGTGAATTTCATCTTCTAGTGATAATTCTGTTCTAGGCATCAGTGGTCTGCAGTCCCTTTTGAGATCATATGATTAAGTAAAGAACTCAAGTTCTTTACCTTGGTGTAGCTCCTGAAAACAACAATGACTGTTACTTGGAATATTTTGAGGGCAGAGATTACAAATGCTCTACCTCCAAAGTAAAGAAATAGTGGGTTTCTGTGGACAACTGGAAAGGGCACATCAGCTCAACTCAGCCTCATTGCACAATCTCTAGACACCTAAGACGATGGCTGTACTATTTAAATTATTTTAATGTTTTGACTCAGTAAATCTTTCTTACATAATTATAAACATTTGCTTCAGTGTTTTTTTCTTTGATTATATTTTTCTTTTATGTATATTTATTTTAGAAATTTGGATAAAAGTAGAAAAAAAGCTAAGACAGCCATTGGCACTTTGGTTATTTCTTTCCAGCCTTTTTATTCTTTCTAGGTTATCCTGGTTTAGGTTTTGATTTTGAAAACAATGCTGTATACTATTGTGTTTTTTTTTCACTTAATCATGTTAACATAATTTAAACATCACTTTTGTATTAATACAAATTCCTCACAAATATCATATTAATAAGTGCATAATGACCCATCAGGTGAGTGTATTATGAATTTTTAACAATTCCACTAGCATTAGACAAGAATAAAAAGCTATTTTAAAAGATAATATCCAATAATGGCAAGGATCTGGTAAAAAAATGGAATTATCGCATACTACAAATCACATGGAAAGTTATTTATTATAAACTATACAGAGTCTTAACAATCTTCATTCCCTGTTTCCAAACAGCTTCCAGAAATCCACTTTAGAGAAGTAAATTTGTTTATTTATTTTTAGGTTTATTTATTTAATTTTTTTTTTTTTTTTACATTCTGTGATGTTGTTGTGGAGCAGTTGGAGAGGAGGAGGAGAGGGGAAGGGGTAAGAAAATAGGGTGGGAGGAGGAAGGAGGAAGGGCAAGGTTGAAGCCTGTGGCACCCCTTCCCTTCCAGCAGGGGAGACCAGGGAGCTTCCAGTGGTGGCTTGGTCATTGCTGGGCTGGGTGTAGATGTCAGGCGTGTGTGGCTGAAGCCCTTGCCCCCCAGTGCCCCAGCTCAGGAGCCCACGGTGCTTCCTGTGGGGTCTCGGTGGTCATCGCTGGGCTAGCTGCAAGTGTCAGGGGACATGGCTGAGGCCCCCAACCCTCCCCCATCTCTGGCTTGGTAGCCAAGGGGACTTCCAGTCCCTCTAGGTTTTATAGGTGTTCTTTGGTGATGTGAGACCTTTACTAGTTAATATCAGACTTTGTCTCTGGTCTGTGGGTACTTTGTTTTTTCTTCCAGTTCTGTGTTGGATTATCTGCTGTTCCTACCACTTAAACTGTGCACTGGAACTAATTTGTTGTCCTTTGCTTACTTCTAAAATGGGGGAACTTCCTGTGGGGACCAGCACATGAGCTCAGTGGTTGAGCTAAATTGCTGCTTTGCTGCTGATTCCCTAAGGAAGACTTTTTGTGCAGCTCAGGTTTTAATGGTTGACTTCATAGATACCTCTGGTTCAAGTGAGATCTGGTGCACCTGGGTCGTGTAGACACTCTGGTCTGAGCCTGAGTCTTTTATTCATACTGCACCCCCTGCAATTCTATATTCTTGACCAGTCTCCTCTGAGTGGTCCTTCACTGATTCGGGGCAGATCAGCTGTCCTTGTTGTGCCCCAGTGTTTCCCCAGTGGGCCTGTCTCTCCTACCGCCTGAGCTCCAAACACTTCCCATGGGATAGGCCATGTGCTGGTCCCTTGTGATGACTCACTAGCCTCTGAGTGGCTCCTTTTTGTCAGGTGTCTGTGGCTCCTTGCTCCTATCTAGGTCTACCAGAACTGTGTTAGTGGTCTTGCTGCCTGGGGACAACCAAAGCCCTCTTCTCCCCTGCTGCCTCCAAGCAACTTCATCCAAAGGGCACAGCTGTGGCTTTTTGCCCGCTCCCGCTCTGTGTGCTCAGCAGCTCCAGCCTGGAAGCAGCCAGGGCTCAAAACAGTCTGAACAGTTTATTTTTTCTCTCATCATGGCTTCTCTCACCTTCATGCACTCCATAGGTCTCTCCTCCTCTTCCTCTGAGCTCTAGCAGCCCCAGCTTGGCTGTCGTTGCTTCTTCATAGTTGCAAATTGGTTGATTTGTGGGAGAGAGTGAAGCTGGGCACAGTCTATTCCACCATCTTGACCAGAAGTCTAGGGAAGTAAATTTAAATGCAGAAAAAATTTCATGCACAATGCTATTCAACAGAGTGTCTGTGATTGCTTCTTAAAAGTACACTAACATTGCTACTGCAAGAGTAAAGCAAATAATTTTCTCTATACTGTTAATTATCCTTTTTTTCCATTTGTATGCATCAAAGCAGATTGGTGGTTTCTCTAATAAATACTGGCAGGCGAAATTTTATTGCAGCAACCGTCTCAGGGCTGTTAGAATACCAAATGTATACCATAAATTATTTTCTGAAATTAATTTCCAAATAGGAATCAACTTTTAGGAGATATCCCTGGAGGGGAAAAAAGAGAGAGAGAGAGAGCATCCCGTCTGACTGATATCATCCCTGCAAAAAACTTCAATACAGACCCCAGACAACTGATGCTCCTTTAAAGCCTCTATCAGAATTTCACTGGCAGATTTAGGTGAGGTTGATAAGAGTATATGCAGTCGATCAAATTCCAATTTCAATACCAAAAGTATATTCTATACAACAGTTACTACCATCTCTGTAATGTATGCCTACAAAGTAGGGTATAGCTTGAATTGGATGAGAGTAGAGTCTTTGTTTCCATAGCCAATAAAAATGTAAATATCCGTTTATACTGATTAAATTTCCTGAACATTGTAAACTGGAATTTTCATAGACTGCAGCATTACCTAGCACAGAGAGAAATGGCAAATCCTGTACTAGAAAGGCAGTCATTTTTTGAAAACACTAGGTAAAAACTCATCCATTGGACTAATTCTTTTTGCCTTTAAAGACATATGTTAAAGCTTGGTAAAATACCATGAGGATGAAATGTTTTCAAAATGATATTCTGTGATTTATTTACTATAAAGAAGAAGGTCACCTGCTAATATCTACCCTTTAAAATTTTTCACTCGGCTTCATGTTCTTTGGTGCACAAATCAAGTGCTTGAGCTGAACCATAATTTCTTCTTTAGGAAACTATTGGCCCTAATTTCAAATTCAACACGTAGAAGAAGAATGAATTGCATATGGATAGAAGTAAAAGTCAGTTTCTTCTATGTGCAATTTGGTCACATGTGTATCTAAAATTTACAGGACACAGAACTGATTGCAATAAACTACACAGAAGTCTTCACTCTGAGTTTCATCAGCATGTTCAGTTTAGCATTGTCTAGTATCTAGTTATGATCTCACATATAAGGAGTATCAACAGCACTCTCCAATGATATTGGAGAGAGATGGTCTGAAAGGCCTTGCTACTCGGGTGTGTTCTGTAGACAAGCTGCATAAACATCACTTGGGAACATGTTAATAAATGCAGATCTCAAAACCCACCTCAGACCCACTTAATCAGAATATTTTACAAAAATTTCACAGTGATTAATATGAATCATACTACAAGATGGGTGGGTCTCTTCATCAGCTGCACATTAAAATTACCTGGAAAGCAATATAAAAGAAAAAGCCTGATTCCCATACCTTACACTATTTGATTTTGAGAGTGCAATAAGGTATAGTTTTTAAAAACGGAATTTAAAGTCAGAAAATGAATATTTGCATAGCAGCGCACTCAGTTACTATAATTTTATATAAATTTCTCTCTAGACTTCATTATCCTCAGAGAATTATAATTCTGATAAAATGAGTAATATGTGGGAACATATTTGTAAACTATAAAGCCCTCAATCAGTGGTATTGTTAATGACTGGTATGGTATAAAATCAAATGAATAAATCTTTGTTGAACAGATAAAAGCATGCTCTCTCCAAAATATTGATTTTTAATATGGGGTCTGTGGATCAACTGCATTAGAAATAACGGATCTTGTTAAAAATGCAAACAGTTCTTTCCTGCTTCAGACGTTGTGCATGACAATCTCAGGAAATGGAATACAGAAGCCTGAATTTTTAATAAGCTTCTGATGTAATTATCAAGTGCCTTCACTTCACTGCCTATGAGCTAGAAGAGGAATCTCAAAAGTAAAACTCACAGCTGTTACCACTACTACAGCTAGTGCCGATTCACTCTCTTATCCCAATTATCTCTCACTTTATATGATAATATTGTACAGACTCATTAAACTCCAGGTATGAAAAAGTAGATGGAGAAGACCAACTGGACAGAGATTGAGTTCATTCTGCAGGGACTTTCTGAGTATCCAAGAGCTGAAAAACTCCTTTTTGTGATGTGCTTGATAATGTACCTGGTAATCCTCCTGGGAAATAGCACCTTGATCACTCTAACTCTCCTGGACTCCCATCTCCACACACCCATGTACTTCTTCCTTGGTAATCTTTCCTTCCTAGACATTTGGTACACAACCTCCTTTATCCCCTCAATGCTGGTACACTTCCTATCAGAGAATAAAACCATCTCCTTCACTAGATGCGTTGTCCAAATGTCTGTCTCTTACACTATGGGATCCACGGAGTGTGTGCTCCTGACAGTGATGGCATATGACCGTTACGTGGCAATCTGCAACCCTCTGAGGTACCCCATCATCATGAGCAAGGCACTTTGTATTCAGATGGCAGCTCTCTCCTGGGGATTGGGCTTTCTCAACTCATTAACAGAAACTGTTCTTGCGATACGGTTGCCTTTCTGTGGAAAAAATGTCATTAATCATTTTGTTTGTGAAATACTGGCCTTTGTCAAGCTGGCTTGTACAGACATTTCCTTGAATGAAATTATTATAATGTTGGGCAATGTGATATTTTTGTTTTTTCCATTACTGCTGATTTGTATCTCCTACGTTTTCATCCTTTCGACTGTACTAAGAATCAATTCAGCTGAAGGAAGAAAAAAGGCCTTTTCCACCTGCTCAGCCCACATGACAGTGGTGATTGTGTTTTATGGGACAATCCTCTTCATGTACATGAAGCCAAAGTCCAAAGATTCTGCTTTTGACAAGCTGATTGCTCTGTTCTATGGCATAGTCACCCCCATGCTCAATCCCATCATTTACAGCCTGAGGAATACTGAGGTGCATGGAGCCATGAGAAAGCTGAGTAGACACTGGTGCTGGAGGAAATAAATGATGACCTACTGACACCTTTGAGTTTATCCCTCAAATAAACTCATGAATTTGAGGCAAGGGCTTTAAATTAAATAGAATGAAAGAAATGAAGGTCACATGTGGAGTCGCAGAATTTCAGAGTTAGAAAAATTTGAAGCTAATAACCTAACTATATTGCTTTATAAAAATGACTGTGATCTCATAAAAATATAGTAAAAGTGGTCTATTAAGTGAGAGTAAACTTTCAGAAACAAGAAAACAAGATTTAATTTAGCCTTTCTGAGAAAATTCAGCCCATATGTTTACTTAATTAAAATACATTTTTTCAATCCTCCTTTTTGGAAAAATATTTGATTTCATATTTTGCTTTGTTTTATTCTTGCTTTTTACTTTATCCATGGGTTTGATCTGGTCCCAACTTCCATTTCCAGCTACATTTTTCACTATCTTCTTTCCCTGCCCATGAATCCCCCCAACACACACCCCTTTTGCACATGGTGTGTCCATTTACCATGTACTTACTCAATTATATTCTTTTCTTTCACATCTAATGACAATAGCACATGCTATTTCATCCACATTTTCAAATTTCTCCCTCTGGTGAAATCCTAACGATCACGTAAAAGACAGGTCAGAGGTCATATCCTCAGCAGCGCCATCCAAAATTCCCTAAGAGTTAGTTTTTCCCTCCTCTGTGCTGCCCTGACCTTTATCTCCACTACAGTGATTCTCCTTTTATGCTATAATTATTTGTTAGCTTCTGAAATCCTCCCAATAGCAGGACCATGGCTCATGGTTCTCTGAATAAAATCCAACGTTAATTTTAAACAGTTGGCAGTAATTAACTGTTAAATTAATTAATTAATTAAAATTTAAAAGGATTGTAAAATATGGTCCAAGTACCTGATTTAATACAGGGAGATAAGTGAACTAAGTTACGTATTGTTTTATTCACCAAGCTACAATTTTAAAAGCTTTGGTAAAATGACAGCTAATCTTTAAATATAGGGAAAAAATAAGGAAGATAAAAAGTAAAGGCAGAAAAAGTAAAGATAAGCAATTGCTGAGAAAGATAAATCAATTGTATAAATGCTTCTTAAAGAACATTGACAATTTCACTCTCAGAAGCAATAGTTTTCTTTCATTAAGATAAATCAATTGTATAAATGCTTCTTAAAGAACATTGACAATTTCACTCTCAGAAGCAATGGATAATCTCATTTTAAATAGTTTTCTTTCATTAAAAAAATTCTCCTTAAAATGGCTACTGAGTAATAATTTATAGTTGTAATTTTCATAAACTATGAGATTCTATCATGTATTTGTATGGTGTGTGGCTCAGCTGCCTGGCATAGTGTCACAGCCTGAGCTGGGTGAGAAGGGCCACTTGCTCATGGGTGAACGTTTTATTAACCAAACACTGTTGAGGACAGTATCCTCACTTGTTCTGTCCAGCATGGTGTTTTGGAGCCTCGGTAGAGAAGGGAGATGTCATCGTGGAAGAGAGGACCAGTTTAGGTTGTCAGAACCCAACAGGATAAAAGGGTCATACACACAAAATCAGGATGCAGATCCCAACACCTGGTTGAAGATCACGTCTGCAAAGGAAGACTGACTGGCAGAAGGTATTAGAACACAAGGAAGGTAAGAAAAATGACTGCACCCGAGGGAGAGATGTGGGGCAGGTGGTCTGGAGTGAGTTGTCAGAGCCCTAACGGGGTGAGGAAAACATCCACAGGGAGGATTCAGAATACAGATGTCCAAGTCTGAGAGGAGTAAAGAAGACCTAAATGGAGTGAAAAGGGCACACCTGAGGATGTGGCTTTGAGTGTTTTAAATTATAAAATGTAAGATTCATGTCTTTTTATTCTAAGTACTAATGGGTTCATTTATATCCTTGGATTGAAGGAATCAGGCATCCAGGAAAAGCACAATAGAAAAGGTACTGATAGTTTCACTGAGACACTGTATAGCTTCCTTAAATTTATAATATAATGTAAATACTCTAAGTTGAACAACATACCACAAAACTCTGGGGATTTTTTCCTGCCAGGCACTTTTTTACCCCACTTCTCTTTAGGACTATTTTTATAAAGGCCTTTTACATTTGTATAGACATTCACAACACAGACATCTATCTCCAAGCAAAATCATATTGACACATGTAAATAGCAAACACGTTTGTAAAATATGCGGATTTCCATTAAACTTAGCTATTCTGAAAAATAGGTTAATCATAAATCAGTTCAAAAATCCACTACAATTTGTATATTACAGGCACAAAATTTTGGATACTCAACAATTGACTAACAATGTTAAAAGCTGGTTTTGTACTATTTAAAACACACACACACACAAAATAAAATTTCTCACCATTATACCTATTTATGAGAGAGTTTCTGATATATTTATATAAGGTACATATATGTAATCTAAGAGATTTAGCAATCGGTCAAGGAAGAAAATTAGAAGATCACACATCTCATTTAAAATAAATGTCTTCCCTCATTATATCAATGTTTTGATGTACATTGACCAATAAACACCCCTTCTGTTAATATTTATCAGTATTATTTGCCACTGGGGACTAAGAGAGCACAAAGGTTTTTAAAACCTTTTTTATTGAAACATAATTAATTGTATGGATCTGTGGAAAACAGCATTGAATAGCAATACCTGCATGCAATATGTGATGCTCAAATCAGGGTAATAGGTATATTCAGCCTTACACGCTGTAATAATTTTTTAGAGCCCTTTATCAATTTCTCACTAACCTCCCTCTCTCTCCCCCATACCACCTCTGTTGGCCTCAGTTCTGATCTCTCCTTCTGAAGTTCAATGAATTGTTATGATTGTTGTATCTTCTTTCTTTCTTTCTTTCTTTCTTTCTTTCTTTCTTTCTTTCTTTCTTTCTTTCTT